CATCTTACACACTTTTGCACTACTTGTTTTGTTATTCTCCGTATTAGGTGGTAAGTTTACTTAAGATCATATAACACCCAGCGATACAGTATTAATTAACTGGATGCTATTTCAAGCACAACTTAACTTATTGTTCGTGAATTATATCATCAATGTATTCATCACATCAATTTTTGACTGACTTTGTGCAGTTATCAAGTTGTGTGAATAAACTGATGTGTGGTTGTTATAAGCAATGAATTATGCTGCATTATGGATAAGATTTTCTATTTTGATAAACTGTCACTCACAGTGTGTGTAGTGTTATACAGTAAGTAATATTAACTGATGCGACCACACACTTCGAGCACAATTTATTATTGCCACTCATAATCATCATATCAAGTCACTCACTTACTCACTCACACAACTTTCGTCTTCCTTCATTTATATACATGAGTGGAATTCATGATTAGACATTTGAATACAAATCAGTAATATGAGATAATGTACATTCAGAAATAATAATAATAATATGAGTGTTATTGATCAATTACAATCAGATGGGAAATAAGACGAGTGTTTCTTCTATAGTCATAATAAGTGAGTAACTTGTTAGAATGTTGTGATGTACGTGAATTGAATTGAAATAGAATACAATTTAACATTATTTATTATCCTCTTCTGATTTCAATGACTGACTGACTGACTGGTGGTAATAATATATTCCATGCATGTCTCTGGTATTTACATCGAGTCATTTCTGTTGCATGTGTTGTGTTATGTGTAGACTCGATGAAGCATGCAGGATTCAGTAATCAATCTCTCTCTCTCTCTCTCCGCCTACCTAGATTGCTTTTTAGAATCTTAACCCTCTCCCACCCACCATGCTATTGTGTGGTTGTGTGTTAATCCATACAGTGCAATGTATTGCTGAGCTTTTTTAAAATTACTTACCTTCTCGGGTGGGGTCAACCATTCTTACCTTAGCTAAATTGTTATTTTCTGACAATCTGACTACCCACAATCTACTGGTTTGACCTATGTAGTTGACTTAAGTGACAGTCATTGCAGGGTATTTTGTAAATTATATTATTTTGTTTAATTTGGTCAACCCACAGGGTCCCTTATTCTACAGAACTCGTCCTACCTGAGTTAGTGTGTAGGTTTGAATGCCACACTACCACAGTGCCAAAGAATTATGCTCTAAACGTCATCCAATTATTATTTTGTGTGTGCTGCGTTAAGTAAACTTACCTAATATGGAATTATATTTCATAACAGCACTGAAATCCTATTCTTAGCGCAATTATTATTATTATTGTGTTGTATTACTACTGCATCGTTCATTTTATACGTGTATGAGTTAACTTCTAACCTTGACAGATTCCTGATTTGGGCGGGAGTTGCTATTTTTATAAATGCTATTTTAGGAATATTTTTTATTTTTGAGTTGGTGATTTTAATGACTTTAGACCGATGGTCTTTGCCAATAAAGATATATTTGAACTTGATATAACTAAGCTTATTGGTGATGTCATCGTATAACTTTCCACTTTATATTAACAAAAAATAATGTAATTATATGAAATACGGTTTATATAACTGACTCATCTTTACTTTTATCTTATGTAGATGAACATTGTTACTTGTTAAACAATAATGGTCTTTTTTGTACAGCACCTGTTTATATTCGTTTTGGAAGATCACAGACTTCATAAATTCCTTCGTGTGTTGAAAAACTGTGTTGATCTTATTCCGTAGTATTATAGTTAATTAAATTAGGCAAAGTAATTATTATATTATTATTATTATTACTTTTAATTCCTAGAGGAACATAGAGCTTCAGCCATACGTCTCCATTGCGTTCGGTTCTCTGCTAAAGTTTTCACCTGGCTTCAACCAAGTCTACCCACATGCCCTCATCTCCCCTTCACATCACCTCCTACATGCAACCTCTGATCTTGAGTATTGAGCGGAGACATCTAACTGTTGATGGTATGTAGTTTGTTTGAGGTGCTCTTTATGACGCGCTGGCCAAGTCTCTGATCCATCCGTATAGCAGCACTGACTGACTTCACATTGGAGTCGAAAATCCTGATCTTATTTTTGATGCTGAGTGCTGTTGACCTCCAGACAGACTTGAGAGTAGTGAAAGCTTGTGTTGCTTTTCCGATTTTTGCGTTGATATACTCATCAGTTCCGTCCGCCTGTAGTGGAGACGATGCTTCCCAGGTAGTTAGAAGAGGTTATTTCTCTCAGGTTCCTCCCATTTATGCTGATCGTTGTCTGTTGTTTTTGTTGTTCTTGTCCACGAATCTTCATTACCTCTGTTTTCTCTATGTTCACCTGAAGTCCTATCTTTGATGCTTCTTCTGCCAACTTGTTGCTTTTCACTTGCATATCTTCAAGGAAATCAGACATATATCATCGTCGAAGTCAAGATCCTCCAAGATTTTGTGAGAGTCCGTTTTATGCCTGTTTACTCGCTGCCCGTTGCTGTCTGTCGCATTATCCAATCTACCGCAATCAAGAAATATGTAATATTTTCACCATAATAGTAATGTTAAGGAAAATAAATTTACGATATAAAGTGATAAAATGAATTTCAGGGTGTATGTATTTTCGTTACTGTGATCGGTGTTAGCTAACGAAACAGTGGACCTTATCGTCCTGAAATTTTGGAGATTCATTAACACTGCCTGCCTCTATGATATTCTTCTAAAGAAATGTAAACCTCAGATTATTATGCAGTTGCATAGTAGCGTTACCTACTGGACTGAATTGTAATATCTGTGATTGTCATTCATCGACCCCCACGATGTTGTAAGCGTGCTCAAGTAGTTACTCCAGTTACAAGAATCCACGGGAAATAACTTCTCAGTGAAACTTTAAGAAAATTTCTTCTTGAGACTATTTTCTAATGAATAGTGAGCAATAGATAGATTGAGAATAAAATCCATCTTTACTGGGCTTCTCAAAAAAGACTACGTAGGATGCTAAATAAAGCAGGAATTAGGGTGGCATTGAAACCTACAAACTCAGTCAGTCAGAGACAAGCTCTGTAGGTTAAAGGACCCAGTTGACCCAATTAGACAAAATAATATAATTTACAAAATACCCTGCAATGACTATCACTTAGGTCAACTACATAGGTCATTTAAACTAGTAGGTCGGGGGTAGTCAGATTATCGGAACTTGGGAATTTAGCTAAGGGAAGAATGGTTGTCTCCACCCAAGAAGATAAGTAATTTAGAAAAAAGCTCAGCACCACATTGCACTGCATGCATGCATTAACATAAAACCACACAATGGCATGGTGGGAAGGATATTAAGATTCTAAGAAGGAATCTACGTAAGTGGAGATAGAGAGAGATTGATTACAGAATCCTGACTGGTTCATCGAGTCTACACATAACACAACACATGCAACAGAAATGACTCGATGTAAATACCAGAGACATGCATGGAATATATTATTACCACCAGTCAGTCAGTCAGTCATTGAAATCAGAAGAGGATAATAAATAATGTTAAATTGTATTCTATTTCAATTCAATTCACGTACATCACAACATTGTAACAAGTTACTCACTTATTATGACTATAGAAGAAACACTCGTCTTATTTCCCATCTGATTGTAATTGATCAATAACACTCATATTATTATTATTATTTCTGAATGTACATTATCTCATATTACTGATTTGTATTCAAATGTCTAATCATGAATTCCACTCATGTATATAAATGAAGGAAGACGAAAGTTGTGTGAGTGAGTGAGTGAGTGACTTGATATGATGATTATGAGTGGCAATGATAATTTGTGCTCGAAGCATGTAGTCGCATTAGTTAATATTACTGACTGTATAACACTACACACACACTGTGAGTGACAGTTTATCAAAATAGAAAATCTTATCCATAATGGAGTAGTTATACTCTACCACCACCAAAATGCCCAAGTTTTATACTCTATATCAATAGTGTGCACTAATTTGATAAGGTCATCATGTCCTGAAAATCAAATTCGATCTATGTGAACCAATAACTTAGCTTCTTCGTTTGGTACCATACTATATCAGCTCCATTTCTCCCTTTGCTTGTGGAGCATCAAGATTAATTATTACTTTCTGAACAGTCAATTTATTCTTCATATGTCAGACTAACGGTTTCAACGTTTGGCAAAGTTCTACAATAGAGTCCCAAGGAATGCGAACGCACGAGTGACCTTTTGCCGACCAATCAGAAGAAAGGATGATTTTTTCATAAAATTTTACGTATTTTTACATAAAAAAATCAAACAGGGTACTTTTCTCTAATATGAGATAAAAAAAATGTTCCAATTATTAAGAGGGGTTTCAGTTTTTAAATTAAACCAATTTCTATACACATATTCATCCAAATGACTGAAAATAACTTCGTTTTGTGATGCGTTGATAGCTCGGATTCTATTTTTCAGTCTTCCCCAGAAACCTTCGATGGAATTAGTATGGGTACCGGTGATAGGGTCGACGAAATCATTCGAATGGTTCACTCTATGATGTATATATCCCAATTGCGATAATTGGTTATATTCCGCCCATTCATCGGTGTGTATAGTAGTGCCAGGCAAAACGAGTCTCTGAATAATTAACTGAGACTGTCACTTACCATTACGAACACTTATTCGTTTCCTACACTGTGTACATCTAAATACATATCCGTCAATGACCTACGTATACGCCTGCAGGTTCATAGAAGCACCACAAGTACATATCCGAGTACGTGCTATTAATCAATTATCTAGGCAGTACTGAAATACGTGATCTGGGTGAAATTTGCATCTCAATAGATGAACAGCGTTCATTTTCGCGCTAGAATAATGGTAAGTTTCCTCAACCAATCACTAGCATGCGTTCAAGGTCATTGGGACATTGACAAGGTCATTGGAACATTTACAATCCTGGGACTCTATTCTTGTACTTCGCCCAACAGTTTTCTCTAATTTATTTTTCAATCTTTTTTTTTTCTTTAACAGGACGAGAAAACTATCCTGCATACAATGATATCGACGTATTGATTTCTGTTGATTTGACGTCAAACAGTTCAACGATTCAAAAGGTCAAATCAGCTGTATTAAATGCACTGATAAGTTTCCTACCAGATGAAAAGTTACAAGCTACTACTCAAGAGTCCAATCAACTGTTCAACCGCAACAACAAAGAAGCCTAAAATTTAACACATTAACAGGTTCATGTTGTAACCTTCAATCTAACGATGATGATACTGCAAACATTATTTCAGAAGATCATCAAAGTGTATCAACCAATTCTTCACCGAGTAATTCTCCTGTTGTAAGAATTAAGAGCCATATGAGCTCCACAGAACTGAGAAACATTGATACGACGATGATGATAAAGCCAAGTTGTAATTCCAGTACAAAAGAATTCAATGATTTTGCAGACAATTCTCAATGTGATGTTGTGCACTCATCAACTGCTGTCGTCTCAACATCTAACAATATTGATTGTTCCTGTTCAGTCCAACCAAATCTTGTTAATCCTCCCCCTGTTATTATTAATTCATCCTCCCTTCAATCTGGGCAGCACCACCACCCAGCAGCAGCAATCCGTCGTCTACACCAGTACTAATTCTCCATTCATCACTTTGAATGTGAACACATTAAACCCCATTCAAAACTGCTCTGCATCCACTCCCAACGGTTCCAGTCCATCAGATGGATTCAGTTTACGTGAGTCTTACGTGTACAAGCAGTTTCGTAAATTTAGTCAAGACGATGATTGTTGGTCACTGTTATCGCTTGGAATGCCTTCATCTGATTCAAAAGTTATTGAATTCAAATTTGTTGATCGTATGAAACGGCAGTTTGAGTTTACAGTGGATAGTTTTCAAATTATCTTAGATCCTCTACTATCATTTTATGAATGTAATCCGGCAGAAGGCGGTGGCGGCGGCTGCGGCCGTGGCGGCATTACTCCACACTTTTATCCAACTGTTGTCGCTGAATCTGTAGCTGGATCGTTTTCTGAAGCTCTTTACCACTTGGAGAATAAACTGATTGCAACTATCGAGCCAGAAATGATTCGTGGTGGTGGTCTGTTGAAGTATTGTCGACTGTTAGTCAGTGGATATAAACCTGCTGAAGGTGTTGATGTGCATACCCTGGAGAAATATATGAGTTCAAGATTTTTTATTGATTTTCAAGATATAACCAGTCAGAAAGTGAAATTGGAAGCATTTCTCGCGAATCATTTCGGTGAACATGAAATCTCGGTTAAGATAAATTATTTACGGATTTTATATCAAGTAGTTAGTGGTTCTACTATCTGTCTAATGTCGCATGAACACTTTCAAACATTAAATCTTATTACAGAAATGTTACGCTACTTTATGTATAATTATTATTCACAATTCAGTAGTAGTAGTAGTAATAGTTGTAGTCGGTTATCATCACCACCTTTAAGCTTAAGCTTGGAATGGTTTGCTGAAAAACAAAATCTTGTTCTAGACAAGATCTATTTTGGAACACAATTATTCCCTGTCATATCACGAAGTGAACCATACTCGAACAATTGTTATTGTCTTAAACAAAAGAATAAACTATCGCCTGTCATACAAAGGAATTCAAGGGCTGTGCAAAAAGGGAATTGTGCACTTCAGGGTGTGAAGAACAGCTTGCACACAGCGTCAGCGTCACCATCATCAAATGAGACATCTTGTTGTGAATCTAGTGTGTGTAACCTCCACCAGAGTGGAGGTGGAGAAGGATTCACAAATTCTTCTACACAGAATTCTGCTTCTTCTACAAATCTTCATGATGATATCCAGAGAACAGAATAATAAAGAAGATTTTCTCTGTGTTGTTTGAATTCTTCCGTCATAACTTTTTCTTTTCTTTCCCCCTCCTTTTCTTGTCTTGTCGTTCTCCTTGTCCTGTTCACATCAGAAAAAGAAAACCTAGTCTGTTTCGCAGCCTTTATTTCTCTTCAACTGCACTATTCACACACACACACACACACCTTGAATACGCATTTAATGAATTGGCGATTGAATGTAGACGCTCCACAGAAATGAAGTCATCAATAATCTGCCATATATTTCATGTGTCTTTGCCCGATCGTATTATCAAAATACAGAAACACCAGCTACACACAAAAACATGTTTCATTCGAAAGGTCCATGAATACTATTAATATTATCATTATTATTATCCGTTATATCATAGGGAAAAAAATATGAAATTCACTTCACATGGCAACACAAACACACAAAAAAAAGAAGATTAAAAAACGGAAAAAAATAAATAAACAAACCCGGTGATGGGTGTTTTCTATTCCTCCTATTCGTATTTTGTCTGTCTTTGTGTCTTCGTGTGTGTGTGCGTGTGCGTGCATGTTTCTTTATTGATTCTATATCGCCAGATTGATTGGTATTCACATATATTCTATTCTATTCTCATACTGTTCGCATATATATATATATTTTGTCTTTCATTGTTTGTTTGTGTTCTTGTACATAAAAGTGCGTGTGTTGTTTGTCTTCTCTGTGGAAAATCAAATATCATAAAATTCACGATCACAACATTGTAACAACATTGTAGTTTATTGTATTGTACATCTGTCTTTGACTTTGTGTTGTTTTGACGAAATAATCCCCGCTTCAGGAGGATCTCTCTCCTGATGTGATGTGATGTGGTATGTTTCTGATTAAATCATACCTATACAACCAGCATCCAATGGTTAAATAAAGCGCTAGCGCCGCCTTGCTTCCTTCCAAACAACCGACCAACCAACCAAGCAGCGCTGTATCTCATTTCAATCAGATTTTTAAAAGAGAGAATTCACATCTTGGCTTACAACAAAGTTATTTTTTCTCTTGATTTCTATCTAACTATCTATCTATCTAATTGGCAGATATCCCCCCCCAAAAAATATATTTTTCCTTTGTACTTCTCGTTGAATGCGTGTGCCCTGTTATTTCCGCAAAACAAAATCATGTCTCCGTGACGATGGCAATGGCGTTGGCGATGCTGACGTTGGTGACGATGCTGCTGCCCTGCTGTCTTGTGTGTAATATTGTCAACGCTATATTTGTGTTCACTGTCGTAATATATAATAATAATATGTGAGGAATGGATGCGACGGGGAGTTGTGGCGGCGGCGAGGGGCGGGCAGCGACGGCGAGGTCGAGGAGAAGAAGTGTGCTATCAATCAAGGAAGGATAACATTTTCATTTTATTTCATTTTGATTCACATTTGATGATTTCCCTGAGAGAGGAGGGGACTAAGAGAGACTAACTAACTAACTAACTATGCTTATATCTATATATCTATCCATTACTGACGTCTATTTGTCATGCTCTCTCCACCCATTTTTTTGTGTATTTTGTCTGTTTGTCTGTTTTTGTACGTGTATCTATTTGTATTTGTATTTGTCTTGGTGTCTCTGTGATCTCTGTGATTTTGTCCCAGTGGTGATTATTACTATTACTATTATTACTATTATTATTATTACTACTCAAACTTTTTATTCTCAATAATAAATAAAAAATTTAACCTGTAAAAAACACGATCAGAGAGAGAAAATTGAAAAAAAATTGAGGAGGCAATAATACAGAAGAAGACGACATTGATTACAGTGGTGTGATTTCAGTCATGAGAATGAAAATAAAATAAGATTTAGAAAAAACCCCGAACAACACAAAACCAAGAGATGAGTGACGACCAGTCCCATACATTTTGTATTTGTCCAATTGTGTCGTTCGTTGAATTAATTATGTTTATTACACACAGTAATAATACGCAATTATTATTATTATTATACCCTTATATACAATTTCATCAACATTGTGTTTGTGCTTGTGTCTTGTTATTGTAATTGTTATTCAATTTATATATTACTCACTATTACCGTCACCATCAACACCATTAATCACTACAGTATTGTCAAAAAAGAGAGTAATTCCTGACTGACTGACTGATTGACCACTAACCAGCTAAACATTAACTGAGCCAGCAAAGACAAACAGACACAAACACCAGATTCTTTGACAATCTATTTTTCAAAACAAACAAAACAGGAAAAAAAGAATAATTGCTGATATTACCACATTTATTATTATCATTATTACTATTTATTTATTTATTTCTCTATTTACATACTACTATTTAAAAATATTCGAAAAAAGAAAAGTAATAAAAATGACCTTATTTTGCTCATTTTCAAAAAGAAAAAAACAACAATCAACCAACTCGTTTTTATTTTCTTTATTTTTTAATTTTTAAAATTTTGGCTTGAGATGATGGGAAGAACACAGTCAGTCAATCACTCGAACGATGATGACAGCGGCGTGTGTGATTTTAAGAACACAAGATGTATTTTTTAGCGAAGAGACTCTTTTTTAACGATGAATTTATTCTCTTCAAGCTGTACAATCGTATATACTCTCTACTCTACTTCGGCTATCTCCTACGGGAGGATGAGCCGGCTTCACATGAACATCTCGAATCATCGTTGCCCAGGCGCGGCGATCTGATGCAAGGTTTTGCGACAGGGTTATCCTATTCTCGTTCCACAGACGGAGTCCGTAGACGGTTTTGTAGCCCCAGGCACTCCATATCAGCCTTGACTGTGCCAAGCCATGTTTTCAGCTGTCCACCCCCGCGACATCGCCAAGATGGTAATGGCGAGGGATTTAGAACTGATTTGACCAGATCGTCATCTGGTCGGCGCAGAACATGGCCAAACCACTGAAGGCGACGTTGTTGGACCAGTACTGGAATTTGGTTGATGCTGTAGCAACGACGACGCACTTCTTCGTTGGAGAGTTTGGCCTGCCAACGAACATGCAGAATGTACCTGAGGCACCACTGGTCTACTACCTTGAGTCTGCGTACATCTTCCGCACGAGGAGGCCAGGTTTGAGAGTCGTTTGTAAGAGAGTTCATGAAGTTTCATGGGAATTTGGTACAAGTGATGTCCCCAGAATCGCTCGGCCGCCTTTTGTTTGAGAGTGCAGCTCTAGCCTTTACACAACCAAGTGTGACCTACAAGGCAGTAAGAGTGGAGTAGAGAGTCCATTATCCATTGGCAACCGGTGACCGGAGTTCGGTTCATACGCCTTTTTGAATGGGACCAGACATCCAGGACATCCAACAAGCCCTTTGTCCATACGTGTGCCGGTGAGCTCCAGTGAGCTTCATACGCCAGTCGTTGGAGGTTTGGAATCAGGGTTTAGCCATCTCCCCTAGACTGTCATCCAATGGACAGGCAACCCGGTGAAGAGCGCCGGGCATCCGCTTTCGCCCTCTCACTTTGGTGGAAAAAAACACCTCCGCCACGTGAAGGCAGTGAGTAGGACTTCCTCAGGAGAGGCTATGTAAAACGCCCGGTCATATGGGGGTATTTCAAGAGGTGTGAGGAGGGGTGGCCAACCCGCAGCGCAAGGCACCCACCCCCGAGCATTCTGAGGCTTTGGAGGCAATCGTATATACACATGTGGGTTTTCTTAAAGAAATTATGTCCGGTGAGGGAGGGAATTAGATCAAAGGTGTGAATACATGAAATAATAATAATAGTATGAAATGCAATTAAAATATTTGTGATTATAATCATAGTTTAATGTCAAGTGGCAAAATAATTAATGTCATATATAGAATAATACATAACGTATTTTGATTGAACACTAGTAACCAGTGTGACGTGTCTAGTCGTTTCTTTGGTGCAGACTGAATTCTGTCAGTCAGGTATTTGCAATGTGGCCACCATTCTAGGTAGTTAACCATCACGGTGCACATTAGTTTGATGATATTAGATAGTTGGAGGCAATCGGCGGCAGAGGAAGCCTTGCCTAGACCTAGGTTTCGTGCTAGTTGGCACTCATCAGCAAGGCGTACCTGCAACCACATTGAAGGAACAGCTCATGTCCCACCCATCTGAGATTCGAACCCGCGTCATTCAGTGAGTACTGCTGTCAGAGACGTTACTACTGAGCTATTCGGGCTGGCTCGCGATTGACCTCCTGTAGGACTGTAGTGGATATTTTGATTGGACACTTGCAACTAGTGTGACGTGTCTGGTGCTCTGTTTGCTTTATTTTTAATTTTGGCTTGAGATGTGTGAAGAACAGTCAGTCAATCACTCGAACGATGACGGTGGCGTGCATGCATGCAGTGCAGTGCAATGTAGTGAGTGCTGAGCTATTTTTTCTAAATTACTTATCTTCTCGAGTGGGGTCAAGCATTCTTACCTTAGCCATTAAATTCTTATGTTCTGACATTCTGATTGCCCCGCCCAATCTACCATGGGAGTTTTTCATACGCATTGAGCTACTACTACTACTTCGAATACAATTTGCTGTCCATAATTCTATCACAGTTGTGATCAATCAATATCATGAACGATTTGTAGGTGCGTACTACTGAAGAGTCCCAAACTAGGCTGACGAAACGGCTGTCCAGTACTCCCTGGTTGGTTTTCCAATGGTTCTCTAACTAATGTCAGCTGGTCATGATGAAAGTCCTGTAACCAATCAATCAAATCCCTACAAACCAACACTTGAAGATACGAAATTATTTATATTCCATCAAAATGGTAGATTTTAGTTCCTCATCAATTCCTACCAGTAGACATCTTGTTTTCATTCGTTTGTTTTTTTCTAATGGAATGTGTAGGGCTTCAAACTTTAACTTTCGAACAGTTGTGTGAAGAACACAGTCAGTCAATCACTCGAACGATGACGGTGGCGTGCATGCAGTGCAGTGGTGCAATGTAGTGAGTGCTGAGCTATTTTTTCTAAATTACTTATCTTCTCGCGTGGGGTCAACCATTCTTACCTTAGC